CCCCAAAACCCCAAAACCCCAAAACCCCAAAATATTAATTTATATCATAAATATGTTATATTCCCATATGCAGAGCTTAGAATCCCAAAAAGATCCGAAATTTTACAGCACAATAACTCTTCAGAAGTCATTACTTAAGGATAAGAAGTATGAAGACCTTAAGGAGAGTAAATAAGATTTCGGACTCCTTACAAAAAAGAGGCATCAAGAACTATTCGCAAACTTATTGGGCATCAAATAGAAGGTAATTTCAGGTGGTTTAGATATAGCAACTCATCAGCAATTCCAAGCGAGAGGCTACCTTCATTCAACCAATTTAAAAGAAACAAATAACTCATTCAATGGGTCAAGGGATGGGAAGGGTTTACAGTCAGATAATAACAACTCTGGGAGTTTGTCAGGTCTTAACGGGTGGTTCACATCGACTCTTCCAGAGCCTATGAACCTTGATATGTCAAGATTTAAATAAAATTCAAACTTTAAAATACATTAAACCTCACAGTCACAATAAACCGATTACTGGTTTTAAACTAGGTGTGAATAGGCTGAAGAAAAGACTGGAAATAAATAGAAATAAGCTACCCCACTATATCGATGGAAATAATTTAGAGTAAATAACTTCTAAACTATGTTCTAACCTAATAGTATTGAAAATTTCAATCACAGAGTACCTTATACTACCAGAAATGCTCAAGAAGACGTAAACACTTTCAAATTCGCTTATAAATAAGTACGGAAAGCAGATCAGACTCAAGCAGCTGGCGAAGATAAATTCTAGAGTATTCAAATGTTAACCTGTAGAAATAAGCCTCAGCAATGTCAGAGGTTACATAAAGCACTTAGCCAGAACGCTTTGCCCCAAACTCAGGCTCAAAATCAGTCAAAAAGCTTAAAATTTCAGAAGAAAATCCCCAAAAAGTGTCCTAGTCAGAAGAATATTGTTGGTCCTGACTCAAGAGTAATCTAAAGGTTTAAACCTCTTACAGCATAAAGATGCACCATCTGTGAATCAGATTAAAGAGATTGTCGGTTCCTTAAAATTGTGAATACAATATTGCTCTAATCTCTAGGCCAAATCGGAAACATGAGCTAAAACAGAGCTTTAAAGAAATCCCCAGAGATTCAGCCCATCTTACTGAAATGACTAAATGCTTAGTTCAGCCTAATCTGATGATAAACTTAAAGGTACTTTGAGTCAGCATTGATTCTAACTTTTAATACAGACGATTGATATCAAAAAGAGCCACAAGGAAGATTACAAAAATTTCAGAAAGAAAATAACTATGCTAAAGAAATTGTGCAGTGTCTAAAAATATTCACTGGAATGCTTAAAAATTTATGGACAAATACCGAATTTTGTAATAATTAAGAGTAATTTAAATATTATGAACTAGATATTTTGATAAAAAACTATAAGTCCAGATTTTGCAACCCAAAGTCGATTACCCGGGGTTTTGGGGTTTTGGGGTTTTGGGGTTTTGGGG